GGGTCAATGGGGGTAATGGGGGCAATGGGGGCAATGGGGTGGAGGGACACAGGCAGCACCCCCAGACCCATAAGTATCCCCATAGATGGAGATGGGGGTGGACATCGATGGGGTGGAGACATTGATGAGGTGGGGGCATCAATGGGGCAGAGACATCAACATGGTGGAGACATCAATGGGGTGGAAACATCAATGGGGTGGAGGCATCAATGGGGCAGAGACATCAATGTAGTGGAGACATCAATGGGGCAGAGACATCAATGTGGTGGAGACATCAATGGGGCAGAGACATCAATGTAGTGGAGACATCAATGGGGTGGAGACATCAATGGGGCGGAGACATCAATGTGGTGGAGACGTCAATGGGGTGGAGATGTCAATAGGGTGGAGACATGGAGATATCAATGGGGTGGAGACATCAATGGGGTGGAGGTGTCAATGGGGTGGAGGTGTCAATGGGGTGGAGCCAGCTGCCGCTGCCCCCCCAGAAGCTGCAGCAGGAGCTGGAGTTCCTGGAGGTGCAGGAGGAGTACATCAAGGACGAGCAGAAGAACCTCAAGAAGGAGTTCCTGCACGCCCAGGAGGAGGTGAAGCGCATCCAGAGCATCCCCTTGGTCATCGGCCAGTTCCTGGAGGCCGTGGACCAGAACACGGCCATCGTGGGCTCCACCACTGGTGAGCACCGTGGGGCAGCACCGTGGACAGGGGTGGGGTGGGCGTGGAGGTGGCCATGGGGCTGGATAGAGGAGGTTGAAGGTGGCCATGGAGCAATGGGGAAGTGGAGGTTGCCATGGGGTGATGGAGAAGGTTGGAGGTGGCCATGGGGCAATGGGGACATAGGGATGGATGGAGAAGGTTGGAGGTGGCCATGGGGCGATGGGGACATAGGGATGGATGGAGAAGCTTGGAGGTGGCCATGGGGCGATGGGGACAAGGGGCTCCTCCTGCTTCCCGTCCAGGCTCCAACTACTACGTGCGGATCCTGAGCACCATCGACCGGGAGCTGCTGAAGCCCAACGCCTCGGTGGCCCTCCACAAGCACAGCAACGCGCTGGTGGACGTCCTGCCCCCCGAGGCCGACAGCAGCATCATGATGCTCACCTCAGGTTGGACCCCAACAGGCCACCAGGGAGTGGGGTGGAGATGGGTGGTGGGGCTCCGATGGGTCTCCATTCACGCCCAGCGGTGGTGGATCTCCATCCATGGCCAATGGACCTCTTTGCAGACCAGAAGCCTGACGTGATGTACGCCGACATCGGGGGCATGGACATCCAGAAGCAGGAGGTCCGCGAGGCCGTGGAGCTGCCCTTGACCCACTTCGAGCTCTACAAGCAGGTTGGAGCCCATTGGAGCACCCCATGGCAGGACCTCTGGGACCTCGGGGGTCACCTTTGGGTGTCGTCCACGTGGTCCCATCCCCATAGATCGGCATCGACCCACCCCGAGGTGTCCTCATGTATGGACCTCCAGGCTGCGGCAAGACCATGTTGGCCAAGGCGGTGGCGCATCACACCACGGGTGAGGTCCTCGAGGGGCTGCTGGGGCACCCATGGGTGGGGGGGGGTGTCCTTTGGGTGCTGATGGGGTCCTTGAGGTCCCGATGGTCTCTATGAGGTCCTATGGTCTCTATGAGGGTGTGATGGGCTCTGTGAGGTTCTATGGGCTCCAAGGGGTTCCTTTGGGTCCTGATGGTCTCCATGGTTCTCCATGAGGTCCTGTGCTCTCCATGAGTTCTTATGGCCCCCATGAGGCCCTATGGCTCTCCATGAGCTCCTATGGTCTCCATGACTCTCCATGAGGTTCTATGGTCTTCATGAAGCCCTATGATCTCCATGGCTCTCCATGAGGTCCTATGGTCTCCATGAAGTTCTATGGTCTCCATGGCTCTCCATGAGGTCCTATGGTCTTCATGAAGCCCTATGGTCTCCATGGCTCTCCATGACGTCCTATGGTCTCCATG